CGTTGAAGTAGTTGAAGAAATTGAGTGCTTTATAAGATGGTTAAAATTAGGAGATTTTCCTTCCTGTGTGCCTGTACCCCAGATGAGGATAGACACTATTTTGACTTTTAAGAAACTTCAGTATTACATACTACTTGTAGAACGTTAGCCATTTTCCTTCAAGAATACACGCATCAATCTGATTTAATTTCAGAATTTCCTCCTCACTCGTCTGTCTTTGTTTCTTTCTTCTTCCTTTGTAGCTACTGTTCTGAGAGAATAAATACACACATTGTAGTAGCTACTGTTCTGACTGAATAAATACACACTGTAGGCACTGGGGGAAGAAAAATTGCCATCACATACATTATGCACACATTCATATTGTTTACACTAAGCAACACGAAACTGCTTACATATATTTACAGATGCAGATATAAAAGCAGTCGTAAAAAAGCTGTAGAAAAATGAAACTTTTCCTTAACGGTTTGTGCAAAAACATAGATGCTCCCAGCAAACTTCAATCGCACAAAAGTTAGTGCTCTATTATTATTGAAAGAGTAGTAATTACCAATAAATGTGGAGATTCCTTCACTAGGATGTTGAATCCAGTTATCTTTCATCTTGATGGGCTCTGTTTGGACATCTCGGTCAAAAACATCATCATGACACTGAACAAATGCCTAAAAATACACAAAAGGTAAGAACATTATTTTTTGTTTCACTTTCACATAATCATGCTCAATGATGTCATCATGACATCTAAAAACTATCCACACAAGGATATTCACCTTGATCTCAAAAAGTTTGGCTAAGCACAGTTTTTTATTTGGTAAGGCCACTCCAAATCAATTAGTCATTTTACAGATTTTAGCAATGTAAATTATTGAAAGGTGAAAAAAAAGAAGTAAAGACAGCTTTTTATTTTCATGTTCTCCTCCTGGCGACAAATATCTCAGGACATTGACCCCTCCACAAAATGTTCAACTAACACCTTTCTTCAGTCCATATTTCAGAGAAATCATGAAACTCCTGAAGTGCTACGACACTGGGAACAATTCCATAAAACTAATGCCTGACTGGCTTGCCACCATTATCACAATGTGAGCTACGCCTATGGCTATGTCTACTGTTAGCACATCTCAGCATATTTCAATGGAGCAAAAACCTAGACTTAGCTCTGGATGTGAGTGCAGCCACAGTTTTCTCTACCTTTCCATTACTAAAATATTCTCCCTTGTGCCTTAATATTGGATATTTTCAGTGCAGCTCATCATGTGCAACACTGGGAACAGCACACATGAGCGTTGATTTGGCAACTCCACAGGACTGGGGCCCAAACTCATGGCACTGCTACGCAAATGTTTTATGCTGACAGAGGCTCTATGTATTTCATAGATACTGTATGTAAGCAGTAAACACAGCAAAAGGCATGCTGACCTTCGAGGACAAATTTGATAAAACTGTGCGACGAAACATTGAAAATCTGTATGCATGACCATGCAGTTTTGTATTAAGCACAGCAACTGTGAAATGTTAGCTGTGAAATGTGCTTACTGCTTACTAAATTTTTGTGTTATTGTTAGAAAAAAAAGCTAAACAGTTTAAAGCAGTGCCATGGAAACTGGGCCTTGGGTGGGGTTGGGTATGATGTAATTATGTATATAATGTATATATGGGTACAAGCATGTGACAGAATAGAGTGCGATCAGCACATTGTTAAAATTCCTTTGTACATGTAAACATACAGTACATGATTGCGAGTCTAGAAATGTCAGAGGCAGGCCCCTGAGAATATTTGTCTGTTACTTTATAGAAAATAGCCATGTGGACAAGTGATTGCTTGCCGTCACCCTTGATGAATACATTGGATCGGTAACAGAGGTGATGGGGGTAGGAGAACAGTTGGTTACAATCCAAGCAAGTGGAAGCGACATGACATCCGAATGGAAGGAACTGTCATAATAGTTTTGAGCACACCTATGTGTTTGATCAATGGGTTTAGATGGAAATTCATCACAATCAAGACAAACTCTGGCCCCGCGGACAAGGGATCAACTTCTATTGCAACAGTTGCTAGGCCTTCCATCACTGGCCACAGCACTTTCAAAGTAATGATGGCAGCAAGTGGCATATTATCATCAGTACTTCAGTTCACTGGCAGTGTTACTGCAACTTAATAGTTCTTGAATACTGAAGTTGCGACAAACCACACTTGCAGCTGGTTTTCACTTATGAGTCTGCCAAAGTTTTTCTAGAGATCCGATTTAGTGCGGTTCTTGCATGTGCAGCGGTTCGTCCAACTCCAAAGTTAATTCGGACTGCACGCCACCGGTACTGTGTGCTGTCTATCACGGCAAGTTGCCACCTTGTGCAATGCTTGGAGTGTTGCATCGAAAGAATGCAGCGTGTCTGCATAATGCAAGGTCGATGGGAATGCAGCGCGCCCATTCACTGATACCCCAATTGCAGATCTGCTCTTTCAGCTGGCAAAGTTTCATTGCATGAGGGCAGCATTCCAAAAATCTCCAAAAGTCACCTGCAGGCGACTTTTGGAGATTTGAATTTTCCGACATACTTAATATTGATTTCTAATCAACAAGGACATTTCAGACAAAATGATTTCACAGGGTGATTACTACTATTACCACTGTTATACCAGTTATCCTTTCTGATAAAAATCCAACATTTTTTTTCTGGGGAATGACCAAAGTATGGCTCTACCTTTAATATCATGCGACATGATCATCTTATGACATCATCATCACGAGGTCAATTTCGTCTACAACACTTCCCTCTCTAAATTCCTGCCAAGATTGAACCCAATTGGACATGCAGTTCAGGAGATATACATGTAGTACTTTAAAGGATGCACCTTTAATGTTACGTGACTCGTCTGCTGGTGACATTGTCATCACATGAGATCAATCTGCATTAATGAACTTTTCCTTCCTGATTATCTGTAAGATCTCAACCCAATCAGACACGTACAACACATCATGTTATGCAGAAAGAGCACAGTTAGAGATGATAAACGTTTGTCCATTTTGGCGTTCCGTACAATGCCATCTGCTCTCACCACCAAGTGTTTGGAAATTTGCCAACTCCTAAGTATATGCCCCACGCATTGTGTGCTGTCTATGTTACGGGCATGTATTGCGCGTTCATGACACAGCAGCCAAAGGACAACACATGAATAGGATTTTCAGGATTTGTGTTGTTGGGGCTTCATCTGTGTGAAACAGCGCACCAGTCATGCACCTCATGAAGTTGACTTCCGTGTGTTAGCTATCATCTAATGGACAATTCATGCTTAAATCTGTTATGGTTGATTTTTTACCTAATTTTGAAGAATAAAAGGACTTTTATCATAACTTCTGGTCTGAAAACGTCATCGGCTCCAAATTTTGCATGTGTTAACTGCATATGGTTTAGTAAAGATCATTGTCATCATGTACATCAATTTTCAGATGATTTGGAAAAACTTCGCCACAGACATCTATTCAAAAATTCATTTTTTAGAATTTTCAACCTGCTGCTAGAGGGGTCCACCAATTACATAACGTCATCGGTAGATGTTTTGAAGAATACTATATTCCCACTCACTAACACCATTGAAAGGAAGTTGATACATGTACCTATCACGACTTTTAAACAATAAGCCCACTTCCGGTTTCGACCAGAAGGAAGGGTCATGTGATTTGACCCACACAAGATGAATTGACAACCAAATTTTACTCTGGCACTTGCTGCAAACAGAGTGTTGCGGGAGGCCATGGTTGATTTTATATGGATTTTAACAACATTAACGTAATATTTAAATATTCAGAATTTAATAATTAATCACTTGATGATGTCATCATAACACTATTATTTGAGTATTATCTTTGCTTTGAGGTTTTTCCTTGGTGTAACTTTGAAGTTTGATGAAGGTCCAAAGTTGCAAAGCAGTAAAGTCGTGTACAGAAAAAAAACATGCACAAAGTGAATGGGTTTTGTGCAGAAGACAAAGGAAAATGAGAGCTTATCTGTCTTTTTGTCAACAGAACAGAGGGCTTTTTTGCATTTGTAATAGGATGAATTTTGTGCCCCAATTTTTTTTGAAATTCTACCTCCCCCAGAGTTAGGTCATGCAGTTTCTTAGAAAAGTGTGGGTTGCTTGGCAGCACGTGTGGGCAGGTTGGTAGCAGAACTTGCAAGCAACCACACGAGTCCTTGAGGAGGAGCAGATAAATTCAGTGGCCAGTGACCCTCCTCTCCACTTGGCTATTGGACTCAACAGAGACTGTTCTGTTGTCTCTGTAATCTTTCCTTGCATTGAACCTGCCACAATTACATATTCGTCCCGATCCTGCTCTAGGCAAAGACACCACTAGCACTGAGGCACTAGGGTAACATCAGTGAGCCTATTGAGCTGTATGTACTGCTGGGCAGGGAGTGACTTGGAGCAGAGACGCATGCATTGTGTTCCCCACACCTGATTTACTCAAGCCGGGGAAGGAGAGACTGTGCAATCGAGCCCTGCACACCATCTGTATGTAACCAACGTTCCTCAGAATTCATTCACGCCCCCTTGAACTGCAAGTCCTTTAACTGCAGGCTCCCCAGCCTAGTGCCAAGTGAAGCCAGGACAAGTCATCCCAAACTTCAACCCAACTTCGAGCTAGGCCCTTTATTTATTTTTATTGTTAAATAAATTATCTTCTGTTAACAGACTCCCTGGGTTTTTCTTGTTGTTTTTAAATATATGTATCCTTTAGGATATTTGTATTTTCGTACAGCGTGTGAAAACTTTTGCTAGCTTAACCGGAAACGCACTAATCTGCACTGGTTGGCTGACAATAAAAAATGGCATAAACTAGTAAACAAATAAATAATGTAAGCAGGTGCCATAATTTTCATATTATACCTGCTACGCATTCTTTTGTACATTTGAACAACTACAGCATCATCACATCAAGTCATTTTTTGTATATAAACGCCTCTTTTTCAAGTTCAACCAGATAGAACATGTACTTCAGGAGATACAGGGCCTAAAGAGTGCACCTTTAATGTCACAAGATTTGTTTCCTCATGATGGCAAAACCTACGGGAAAAAATGAAACCTTCAAAAATCAATATAAATAAGGTGATGATGTCATTGTGACATCATAAATTAGGCAATGATTTTGCATCATGGTCTTTGCTGTCTGTAACTTTGATGATTGAGGATTGCAAAGTAACCCAAATTGTGCCTTGAAAATGTGTACAAAGTGAACGGGCTAATTAAATATGTAAAAATTGATAATAAATCACTTGATGATGTCATCATGACGTCATCTTTCTAGGACCGTCTATGCATAAGGGCTCTTTATTGAAACAAGTTTTATGATGATCCAAAGTTGCAAAAGCACTAACGTCAAAACAAACAGGCTTTTAAGCAGAAGAAGAAAACGAAGAAAAAAAAAGAAGAAAAAGAATGCCTTTTTCGCAAAATTGCAAAAAAAGCCAAAAACAAGAAGGGCAGTACTGAAGTTTTTGCAGAATTGCAAAAAAGCCCCCCAAAAAACAAGAGAATGACTCTTTTGCAAAATTGTGAAAAAGCCCCTCAAAAGGACCAAAAACAGTGCCTTTTTTGCAACGTTGCAAACAAGCCCCCCCAAAAAAAGAACAGAAGTAATGCCTTTTTTCACAGAATTGCGAA